CGCACTAAACCGTTTTTATGGCTTATTATGAAAATTCGGACACATTGAGTACATTATTTTATTTATACACACAAACATACATGTGTATGTATATGAGTGTACCTATGTATGTATTTAGACATCGGTATTTTGCGGTTAATTGTGCTGCTCATCACGCGTCGGCTTGGAGTGGTACACTTAAAGCTCCACCATCATAATTAACACCACAGCGGGTATTATATGAAGTATTTTGTAGTTGTTTTTGTGATTTTTTTTTTTGTTTTTTATGTTTGTTTGCAAATATGTGTTTGTATTTTGTTTTGTTGTTGTTTAAAATTAGTGCGCGCTCGTCTTCATGGTTATCAAAATGCCGAGCTGCGAGTGCGGACATGAAAGTCGCGTCACATTTTTATTTTTACTAGCAAAGTGTACGCATTTTGGTTTTTATTGCTTACTTATTTTTAGCGAATTTCCGAAGTGAAGTAGAGGTAAAAAAAAAATAACTTTGAAATGACAAAGATTATGTTGACATATGTTGTATTAAAAAATGTACATTAAGATCAATTTTGGAAACATTGAAGAATGTGGAGGAATTTTGAGTGATTTTTAAAAGACAATAGATTCGACTGGATTACTTAAAGAGCATAATAGTGTGACTGACTTAAAAGTATGATTTTTGGGAGTTAAAAATATTCTATTCTACCGATTTCTTTATGCTTTTAGGGGTATATTTATTCATATTTTATGGGGCAGCCGCTCTGTTATTCGCCCAATTTTAATCGAACTTTATTATTGTTGTGGCACGTCATATGAATTATAAAGCTTTTGGAACATTTTGGTCTACATCCTTTGGAGATATGGCCTACGCAATTAGCCATTTTGAAATGTGGGTTGAGACGATTACTCGATTTTGGATGGTTTGAAACAAACGAAGCATATTTGATTTTGAAGTGCTTTGATTAACCGATTTGTCTCGAAGTTGTTCTAATGTTCGTTGGCTTGGAAACTGCACGAACTACAACTGTAAATATGGACAAATAAACAAGTAATGATGTTCAAATCTGTACCGAACATTAAAAAAAAAAATTTTTATTCAAAGGTCAGAATCGTGTCAGTCAGGTTAAAAAAAATGCAGTTTCAAGAAAAACGATTTTAAAGTTAAGTTCTATACGCTCCAGGTGTGCGACTAAAGCGCTCGAGACCTAGCATCGGATCTCAGTTTCCATCACTTTCCGGTAACACCTAACGTACAGAAAGGTTTCAACATTATCTCTAATTAAAGTTTAAAGTGTCCGAGACTAGAAAGAAAAATTTTGGATTCTTTGAAAAAAACGTATATGGATCTCACTTAACACCCCTTACACAGTAGTTTTAATTTTTTAAAGAGGCAGAAAGGTCGTATATAATTTCGCCATTATCCGTGGATGAAACTTAAAAATATAAATTCTCTCTGAAAGATATAGATATAGTCTTTAAAAAAATAATTTGAATTTTACTCAAAATTTTGAGGCTTCAAAAAATCAAACAAAGGTTATATTGAAAATCACTAAAAGTTCGTTACCCGACTAACAAAAAATGTCAGAAACACTAAATTTTACGGAAGAAATGTCAGAAGGAAGCTGCATCCAGGCTTTTTTTAAAAAATTAAAATGGGGTCCACTTATGGACCAAAAACCATATCTCAGGAAGTACTCAACCTATTTCAATGAAATTTGGTATATAATATTTTCTTAACACCCTGATGACATGCACCAAATATGGGTGAAATCGGTTCACAACCACGCCTGAAATCTCGATTATCACTTTATCATGCGAGAGTATAAAATGTTCGGTGACACCCGAACTTAGCCCTTCCTTACTTGTTTTCATTGTGTTAAAAATGTCAAATTTTGTACCGAAAAGTGATGATTTGGGACAAGCATTAATTTTTTGCTTCCATTGTATCGTATGCTTATCGAGGTACATAGTGATCATACTCTATCAGCAGAAACATGCAAATTCAATGGTTCAGAGATAATGATTTTGATTTGAGAAATGAAGAACGTGGAAGACCACCAAAAAAGAAAATGCCGAACTGGAAGCAATATTGGTTAAGGGTGATACTTTGAGTCCAAAGCAAATGGCAGCCATGTCAAATGTTGCACAACAAACAATTTTAGACCGTTTGAAAGCTAGTGAATGATTGAAAAGTGTGAAAAATGGTTTGCACAAAAATTGAATAGAAGTCAAATGGAAAACCGAAAACTTCCTTGTGAAATTTTGCTTCAAAGATACGAAAGAAAATCAGTTTTGTATCGAATTGTCACCGGCGATGAAAATTTTATTTATTTCAAGAGTAAAACGGAGAAAATTATGAGTTTTTTCGGAACAACTATCAACATCGACTGCAAAAACAGATCCATTCAGTAAGAAGGTAATGCTTTGTGTTTTATGGCATATCGTGAGCTCTTAAAACTGGGAGAAACTAATCGCTGCAGAAAACAAGTGATCAAATTGAAACATTTGCTTTCTCTATATCGCTCTGGGCGCATGTCTGGTCTGCTTTACCGATGAGATGATACGGAGTTACGGGTCGAGAAACATTTTCTTGTACACTTCCAAAATGAATAATCATTCCTATGGTCGTTAGATTAGCATTTCAGATAATAGCAGAGAGTTATATTTTAAATTCTTTTATTTTATTGGTAAGTTTGTTAAGACAACGTTTGTCAGATGGAGATCTTGTTTGTTGCCACTTTCGGCGTACTCGGCGTTTTTCTGGTACCATATTTTTAATTTCTTTGGTATACCTTTGACCCGTTGTGACGTTTTTTTTAATTAGAGTACTACTCCAGGTTGCATATTTAATTCTATTTGTCAAATTCATGATTTCTTTATCTCGCTCGGAATTACATTTCTGTTACGTGACTGTCAACCTTGGATAGCATTGGGTGAAAGTATTCCCAGTCAATGTTTTTTTTTTTTCTTTATTTTTTGTTTTTCCATTTTTTTCTATTTTTTCATTTTATTTTTTTTTTTTTTTTTTTTTTTTTTGTTAGCATAAGTGGAACTGTACGTGTAGTTTTCAATATACTGGTGAATGGTCAGAGGTCATATCCAAACCACTTTCTATACACATAGACATGATACCGTACCCAGTCATTTGAGGAGCTCTCACTCTGTCCTTTGTAGTTAAAAGCCTCGTGCTCCAGTGGGTATGTTTTGCACTATAATCACCATCCATTATAAATCGGTTGTTATGGCTATTGATTAGTTTTAGATAGCTATGGCATTTTCAATACTTTGGAAAATATTTTTATCCATCCAAACTTTGTATTTAATTTTCAAAAGAAAGCGATCAGTTCATATCAGTACGTACGTTTTAACGCACTACGTACTTTTATTCTTACAAAACCTTTCGTCTCCTAAAATGCTAAACAACATAACATCAAAAAATTCGATATTGACTCTTTTATTGATAACGATTGATTGCATCATCTTACATGCTTACATATGTACATATATCTAAAAAGTTTTAAACTCCTGCTATAAGATTTGTCCAAGTTACAACAAAACATAAAAATATTCATAATATCATATATTGCTTGATTTTCATTCGTTTTTTGCTTCTCCTGTGAATTTTTGAAAAGTGATTTTACGATATTTTACATTTCGGGTAACGATACGTATATGTGCGTATGTGTAAAAATATTTCTGAATTATCTTCCACACAGTTTGTTTATTTTATGCTTAATGTGATCATATAATTTTCAAGGTCATCTTTGTTGACTTCTGCTAACAAGCAGAGAATATAGGGTTGTTGACTTAATAGCGTCTGATATAAGCTAAACTTTGATATAAACGAAATCTGCCAATCATGCTTTTCCGCTTGCCACGTCTACCAGAATCTAAGTGCCAATACTATTTTCACTGCATTCTGTCTCGGTTCAGTCTTTTTGGTCCGATGAAATATTTCAATGATTATCACAAGGCATTCTTATCGCATTGACTTTTATGAATGCAAAGCCACATACATATGCATTCAAATATCTGATTGTTGATATGTTTCGTGGTCAAGTGTCTGTCGGAAATATTTAAGACAGTAGCCAGCCGCCACACACTTACACTATATACATACATACATACCACTATTGAATCATGCCCTTAAATAATGACTTACTTAAATGTCGCAGGTTTTTATGAAAATAATGAAAATATATACTACAGCGCATTATAAATAGAAACAAAAAAACGTAGTGAAGCCGAATGCGCCGCGTAGCACACTTGGCATGATAATTTGAACACATACTCATACACACCCGAAAAAATGATATGCAACATGCGGATTTATCAATGCCTCCATTGGCCAGTGTCATTATGCATTTGCGCATGCGTTGCATTGTAATTACCAAGCGTTTGATCACTTGCCAGCTACCGATTCGCATGAATATTGGCTGCTAGTCAGCCGATATTGCGCGCATGCGCAGTAAATTGGCACGTTGGACTTCTTTTTGTCGACTTTGTCGCGCTGCACTTGCTGGTGAGGGTTGTGCTGCCACCACAAGTGTTTTGCTCAGCTGTGGTCAATCGTCATTTGCGGACACACACATGCAAGACACATATATTTATGTATGTATAAACGTAAACAAGTGCATGCGTAACAAAATTAGTAATTGCAATCGTGATACATAAGCGCGGCGCAAATTAGTTGTCGCTGACGTTGGCGTCGGCCGAGGCGCGGCTGTGAGTGCGGGTGTGCAGCCTTGGCGTGCTTATCATGCATTCTCAGCTCACCAGCAATGCAATCAAATTTTGAATTAAAGAAGCTCACTGCGTCTGCGCAAGCACATGCACATAAGTACGCATGTACATATGTATGCTGCACAAATTGTCGTTCAAATGGCGCACTGGCGCACGTAAGTGGGTTTTCGTTTTCATTATGCGTTCGATTTTTATTTGTTTTCGAGTTTATTGGTTGAATGGCCGCTTTGATTAGTATAAAAGGCCCAGTTGGCACCGATTCCAATCAGTTCAAATCCATTTTCGGTATTTAGAGCAACTGAATCAACAATTCAAACACACCCAACAAAAATGGCATTCAAAGTAAGCAACAACAGGAATAAGGATAACAACCACCTAAAACAAAATCAAAAAAGGCTTAGCCATAATTTAAAAAAAAAAATAACAAAAAAGGACTAAATTCCATACAAAAAGTGCTTCAAAAGACTTAAGCAACAAACTTGTCATAATAAGTGTCACCTAGAGTAACCACCGTTCTTTATACTCCATTACAGTTAATCGCCTTCTTCGCTCTCTGCATCGCTGCCGCCAGCGCCGGTGTCATCGCACCAGCTGCTCCATTGGCCGCCGTAGCCGCCGCACCATTGGCTGTTGCCGCTCGCGTTGAGGAGTACGACCCACACCCACAATACACCTATGGCTATGATGTGAAAGATGCTCTCTCCGGTGACTCGAAGACCGCTGTGGAAAGCCGTGATGGTGATATCGTTCAAGGCCAATACTCTCTGAATGACGCTGATGGTTACCGTCGTATTGTGGACTACACATCTGACCCAATCAACGGCTTCAACGCTGTTGTCCGTCGTGAACCTTTGGTTGCCCCCGTCGTTGCTGCCCCAGCTCCCATCGTCAGAGCCGCTCCTTTCGCCGCTCCAGTTGCCGCTGCTTTCGCCGCTCCAGCTCCCCTCGTCGCCGGACCTGCTGTAGTGAAGACCCAATTCGCATCGCCACTCATCTCTTACGCCTATTAGAGTAGTTGGACTGAACATTTGCCATTAGTTGTTAATCATGAATAAAGCCGCACTGTGAATATATAGACAAAAATATTTGTACTTTTATTTTTCAAACAAAACAATTTCACCCATCAATTTCATTATATTCAAACTCCATGGACACATGAATGTATATATATATATATATATATGTATGTATAATTGTCCATGTAAATATGAAGGGTTGCATTACTTTGCATCATCAGTGAGGTATTTTTGCAATGGGACAACACTGCATGTCAAATGCTGGTGCCACACCCTTAAAGATTATGCCCACCAGCAGGATTTTTGTGACATGACTTGCAACTAAACGCCATCGTGGGTTGGGAGACGTTGCATTGTGACTAAGTAATGGACAGGCATTTGCAAATCAGATGCCATGGAGTCGCCGCATTTGTAATATACGGCTGAGGTAATGACTAAGCCACACGACGATTCAAATGTATAGTTGCTTACATATTTACAGACAGATGGCAATATATTACATAGATGTGAGTCATTTAACTTATGAGTAAACCAAATATTCTTAAAAAAATTTTATTATTTATTAATTGTATATTTTTATTGAAATATGGTAGATTTAGGGAGGTATAAAAAGAGGTCCTCTATTATAACATTTTATAAGAGAAAACAAATGAAATTATAAAATTACCCAGCAAGCCAACGACCAGTTCACATATTTACTATACAGACAAACTCGCATAGCTAAATCGACTCAGCTCTACACAGTGATCATTTAGATACATAGTTTAAGGCGTATCCGACGTTACCTTCTGGGTATCACAAACTTCATGGCGAACTTAAGGGGTTATATCGGTTTACGGGTTTCAAAAAAATCGATTTTTTATGATCTTATTGGGTTCTACAACAACTCTAGAATATTGTTCTAAATTTTCAAGTTGATTCGAGTAATAGTTTCGGAGCTTCAGTCTTGTGCGCTCGCTGCTAGCTAGGCTAATTGTGCCGTCTTTAAACGCGTTTTCCTCGAAACTATGTTTCTGAAGTCGGTTGCAAGATTTCTTCACAACTACTCAACCGATCTTCATGCAATTTTTCACAGATCTCTGAGAGACAATTCTTAAACAAAAAATCAGATTTTGCGAAATTTCCTCTGAAATTTTAATTTTTTTGTAAAAATGTCTGCAAAAAATCCAATTTTCGATTTTTCTTCCTTCGTTCAAGTTAAAAGTTCCAAGTTCCAAGGGGTCACCGGAAATGGGTTGAGGAAACCCATGTGCCATTTACACCGTATTTCTGGATTACCCACTAAAATTATCTATAATTAATTTTCGACATTAAAATAAAATATGAGTGAAGTCCTTATAATCAGTACTCGCTATAATAATTTTAGTGCTATTATACTTAAGTAACGTTAGCACTATTTTTGTTTTGCGTGGAGATTGTCGATATGGAACGACACAAAAGACTGTATTGTGGCCTTGAGTGTTATATCCAGCAAGAAATATTGAACATGAGAAAGCTTTCAGCGCGAACGCTACCAGCGCAACCCTAAAACACCAGATTTGCTTCCACTTTCCAGTTTTATCGCCGCATGACTCTAAAAATTGAAAAAGTTACTGATCGGCGTAAAAATCGACTCAGAATAACATTGTCGCTACGGAGACCTATTTCGCAAACCTTTAAGGAAAAGTATCTGTAATATGGAATAAAAGTCAAATATATCTAGCGAAAAGGCGAAGAGACTTTTTTGAGAATTAATTACTACTAATGCATACATTTTCGGTTTCATTTTATATTATATTTCAAAACTAGTATATAGGCTTAATATTTTTTTTTTTTTTTTTTTTGAACCACCATCGTGGGTATGACGAAATCACAATTAATTTTTATTTAATATCAAATTTCTTATATTGTACACAAATGATAATAAAAATTAGGCATGATTAGACTGTTAGGCCAAAATTGAATTATTTGTGATCCTTTCCGATTCAGTAAATCAATTAATCAATGGTTATGCATTTGTTGCTTAAACCTTTTTATTAGAATTTAATTATCCATCTACAATAAATTTTTTCGAATTTTATTATTGTCTAAAACTTCTAAACAATCTTAAAAATGTACCATGTAAACAATTATTCATACTCCAAATATTTAATTTTAAAACGTCAGTTCTTGCAAACTATTCGCTTCCTTCGCTTTAAGCCAACTGGTCACAACAATTATTCATGCATACAAGTGTAAGTGTGTACGCTTAGCTTAAAGAAGCTCTCCGCATTCAATTTGTATGAGCAAATTGTCGCTTAAATGGCGTAAGTTAATAGCAACACATTTTTTATTTCCTCTTTGTCGTCGAGCCATCGATTTTATTTGTATAAAAGACACATTCGGTTAGTCTTCAAATCAGTTCAACTCCATTTTCGGTATTTGTAGCAACCAATTCAATCAAACCAAACAACAATGGCATTCAAAGTAAGGATTTACATCGATACTAAATATTAGGATACCTTTTATTTTACCCATAATTGTGAAATAAAAGACATAATAATTAAAATATAGTAATTTTTAAACTCATATATCTTTTCGTTCTAGTTCGTCGCCTTCTTCGCTCTCTGCGTCGCAGCCGCCAG